CTGTAGAGCTTCTCATTTATATTGTTATCTTGCTGATCCATAAAACTACAATTGTGTGTCCCCTGAGTTTCTTTTATTTTTTTTCAAATTTAGTTTTCTTGGTTGCCCTGTATAGTTCTACAACTGAATTACATTTATTCTGTTTCCTGGTTTCATTTCTTCATACTGCTTCTCTTGTAATTTTTTTTTTTAATGTCTGGAACTATATGCCAATTCTGGTAATAGCCAAAATAGCTAAGTTAGATATCTATTGCTAAGAAGATTGTTTATATTTACTTGTAGTGGGCAAAGAATGAAGAAGTCAAGTTGGTTGAGAGAGGAGAAGCAAGTTCTAAGTATCTATAGCTATTCGGTAATGATTTCAGATGTGGCATTGTGTATTTATATTTTAAGTGTGGTTTTCACTTCTGCAAAGTTTTTTTTTTTTCCATGTGTTTCTTTTTCTTCCAAAGCTTACCTTTGATCTTATAATGACAAAGTCAGGAATACTTACGGGTAATTCTTTCCAAAGTGAATTGTAAGCATACGGAACTTATTACTTTGAGAGCTAACAAAGGCTGTCACAAAGAGGGTCCAGAAGGATTCAGCAGAATTCATAGGTGGTAAATCCATACTAGATTATTAAGGAAAAGTGAGATGTTCCTTTTACCCACCAAACTCTTAGAAAGCATAGTCCATATTCTAGGGATGCATAGGTGAGAGGTGAAGGGGTGGGGAACGTTACTCAAACTCCCGTGCTGTATAAGCACATGTTTCCTATCTCATTATGACACATATAAAATCACATTGCAATTTTATCACGTGGCTTACATTCCTGTTTTCACAAAAGGTATGTGAGCCCCTTGAGGCAAGTGTCCTGATTGGTGGTACATGTACCTGAACCAGTATATGACATCCAGGAAGCATTCAATAAAATTGTTCAATTGTTGAATTAATACTATCAATCCCTGCAACCTCACAATCTACTCACTGCTTAGTTCCTGCATTCTAGCTCCCAGTTCCATCCAAATACTGAAAAGATGCTCTTAAAAAGTTGACAGAAAACTCCCAAATGGCAAACCATTGGTCTTTATCCTTTTTGATTTTACCACAGCAGATGTCATTGTTGAAAATGCCCACCTTTTCTGCCTTCTTAATACTTTCCTCTTCCTTTGCTCCTACAACAATGTTTTGATTCTCCTCCCACCTGCCCAACTACTCCTTGTCTATCTTCTTTGCTAGTTTTACTTTTAGCCCCTAAGTGAAAGCATTTTCAAAGTTCTGTTTTTGGATCTCTTTTATCTGAAGAATCACTCTAATAATCCCTTCCGTTTCCATACTATACCCAGAAATCTTACAAACTCAACCATCTTGTGATGAAATCTACACCCATCCTTTTAAGGAACTTCTGTACATCTTGACCTCAATGCTCTCCTGCCACTTTCAGTTTCACTTTCCCAAAACTTTCTTTATCTTCCATCACTACTCCTTTTCCTGCTCTTAATAGTTTTCTCTCACAACCTAACTATCTTTCTAGCTAATCAAATTCAAAACCCTGGGATTATCTTTGACTCCTGGCTACTCTTCTTTTTCTTCACCTAAATTATCTCCTTTCACTAAGAATATGACAGAAGAATCCTAATTCATCATTCACACTCCTATAGATTAAATGTCTTAATATATAGCTTTGATCATGTTCCTCCACTGCTTAAAAACCTTCAATAGTTCCCCATTGCCTAAAGAATTATAAGCTAACACCTTAGTCTCTTATTCAAGCACTCTATGATGTGGCATCAACCTACTTTAAAAAAATATATTTAAATTTAATTTAGTTAACATATAAGTGTATTATTAGTTTCAGGGGTAGAATTTAGTGATTCATCAGTTGCATATGACACCCAGTGCTCATCAACCTACTTTTCCAGAGTTCTCTCCATACTTCTACACTTTATATAGCCTATTTTCTTACTAGGTGGACTATTTGCCATGCTCCCAAAATGCTTTGCACTTTCTTACTTCTCTATTTTTCTTAATGACATTTCATTTGCCTGCTATCCCTACCTCCAATTCCAACTGCTGAAATCCATACTCACCCTTCAAAACCTTTTCTTCCATGACTCTTTTTCTGATATATCCAATAAAACATGATATTTCCTTCCTCTGAGCTCACAAAGTATATTATTAATAGCTCTAGCATAATACCTATTATTTTTTGCTTTATTCTGTAGTCTTTCTGTACCGTTTCTCTTTCCCACAAGACACAAGGGTCTTGTAACGAAGAAAAATCATAATTATTTCTGCATTTTCCTTCATGTGTAGCACAGTACCTTTCAGAGAACAGATGTACAATAAATTAATGAATGTTTAGGGGCTCATTTCCTAATCTCTGAGTTTGGTATTAGCAAAGCTTGTAATCTGGGTTGATATTTAGCCCATATGTATTAGTACCACATAGTGGCTTCTTATTGCCTGTGTACATTCTGACTGGTTGAAGCCTGTGCTATACTAGTTATCAATATTTTTTTCAATAGCACTCCTTATATAATAGTCTCCCTTGAAATGTCTTTTGGGACCCTTAGCTGAAACAACACTCTCAGTATTTGGGCTACAGGCAATATTTGGGAGCTCTGAGTTGCCTAATTTGGTAGACCCTGGGGAGGGGACATAGACTCAGTGTGAAAGTTTTATAATGTAGGCAACTAATCATACTATTTACTAACATTTTGACTTTCTAATGAAGAATATAAATCATCACCTCATTTTGTTTAAACAGTGAATCGAAAACACTGCAATTAACAGCACAATTGTAGAGCTCTGTATTTTACATACTATAATTTCCATCTGTAAGTGATAATAATGGAGATGGCAAGCAGAGCGGTATGTCTTTGCTGTTTGTGGCTCACTCCGATTTCAGATTTTTTGGCTATTCCCTCTTATTTTACTTGATAAAAATAGCCTTCTTTATAATTTGATTTTTCTGCTTCTATCTCATCATGTTGAAGTGGAGGTTACTGAAGACGCAAGAATGCTGGTGTTGAACAGGGAAAGTATAACAATATAAATTCAATAGGGCATTGAAAAAGAACCAAATAAGGCACCTAGTAAAGTGAAAACAAAAGGAGGTCAGCAGAAAAAGATGATCTAGTTAGGAAAGTCAGAAACAAGGAAGCAATCTGGGAAAATCCCCAGTTCTGTTGCTTCTAGAAAGAGGCAAGCAAGTCGGAGAGTTTTTGGCAGATTTGTCAACTCTATGCCTGCCTCTCCCTCTCCCTTGAGTGAACTCTGATGCTCAAGATGCATTAGAGATCATTGCCACCGTCTGCTTCTAGTTTCTTTTTACTGCTGGACATTTGCATTGGCTGCTGTCACTTGGAATGACTGCCAGAACTACTTGGGCTGATATTTTTGACCCTGTGTGTTCATGGAGGTACTCCAGCTACAAACCAAAGGAGGTCCCGGTTTAGATTACTTGGAATCAGTACTATGAAATTATGCAGTTTGTGAATCTATTCTTGGTGTTTCACAGTTGCTGACACTATATTCCCTTGCGTACCAAACTCAGAGAAACCCTATTAGATGATCACTCTCTTTCTCAGTACAATCTTTCTAGAGTCAGTAGGAGATGTGAGCCTAATCAAACATGGGCCTTAGCAAATGTATTTTAAGAATAAATAGCCTAGAAAGATGACGGCAGTTCTTTTATGGTACAGAATAACATGCTTACATTTATCAGCTGCTTAACAGAGAACTGAATTGATAGAAAAATTATTTCAGTTTGCTTTTCACTGTTAATACTCTGATAGTTCAAGAAAGAACAGTGAAGGTTTCTATTTTCCTTAGGAGGTAGAAGGGGTCTCTGACAGCATGGTAAAACATTCTTATTTTACAGATAAAGACTGAGAGTAGATGAAATGGCTGCTTCATAGTTACAGATTACTAGTGCTCCTAATATTCTGCTATGCAGCACTACCTTAAAAAATTAATATGAATATACAAATAGAGATTTTACTTTTCTTTCCTCCAGTCTTTTACTCTTTTTGTAGGCCATCTTCAATGTCTTCATATGCATCAAAATTCACCCAAATGTAAAAAAGATGAATATAACTTATATTGTCTTCTGCCATGAATTTCACGATTGCCAAAAGCTTTCCTGGACAACTGTACTGGGCTCCATTTCTTTCACTGCTTTGTTGGACAATGGTTTTAAGAGCTACCACTTTGTATTCTGATGATATACGTTAGTTTCCAGTCCAAATACAGAATATTTTTTGAATTATAGGCTATTCAAGGCAAATCTTATTAATCTAAATTAAGGAGAACTTACATATTTACAACTCATGCTCCCTTTTTCATTTACTACCCCATATAGCTCCATAGCCCATGAAGAGGACTTTTAAAATCAATATACCTAATTTCTTCCTCTTCTTCGAAGAAGATAAAACTAAAAATATAGAAATTTCCTTAAAGGAGGTGGATAGCTCAGCTACCTGGATTATTCTGAGAGGAACTATTATTTACCTCAGTCATAGCGTATGAACAGAGAAGACAGACAATTTTCTAATACCACTGTGCCCGTCTTCTCTTTATTAACATGGAGAATGGAATATGGATTGTACTACAAAGCCAAAATGACCTCTAGAAAGAAGCATTATTTCAGTTTCCTTACCTGTAAATAGCTAATGTGGCATCCCTAGGGCCAATTCCTTTTAATGATTTAATTACATTTATGGTTTTATAAACCATGTTCCACCCAAACCCATGCATATAAAACAACAATTAATATTAAACACAGCAGGAGTCCTTATTTCTGAAATTTTTTTGCAAAGTCTACGGTTATTTGAAGATACCTTTGCCAAGGTGAAACTTGTGATCACATAGACATAGAAGCATGTTCAGACTTTTTAAAACATGAACTGAGATCCACTGTTAAAAAAAAATTCATGGGGAAGGTTTTTTGGGGCTGGTATTTGGCTATGAACATTCACATTTTATAATACCATGCAAACTGGAATGAGTTTTACCTGGATTCCTTGGAATCCTCTTTCTGCGGTCTCGGAATGCTGCACCTGATTGTAGGGCTTCTAGAAGATTATCCATCACACCAGTCTCATCACCCTCTGGAGGGAGGGAGAAATCAGAATTAATTTTGGAGCAATTCAAGTTAAACTACAGGAAAATAAAGGGAAAAACTCCTGTCAGATTTACATAATATCCCTAAATTAAAGACTTATATCTGTTTAAACATAATGGATCCTGTCAGTTTCTGGCACCACAGACTACTTTGCTTATTATGCACCATTAAGCAAAATTCATGCCAATCCCACTGTTCTTTCAACTTAAGGACCTTGTCTTTTATATTATTGATGACATGTTCAGTATGCAAATAAACAGTAGCTCATCAGCTACTGCTGCCTTCCTGTTAAGATTCTTATAAGATATTCCTAAGGAAGAAACCAATGACCTGGCTTAATGCAATCAATGTGCAGGGCGTGATTTGATGAAGCGGAGTTACACAAGGTTAAATACTGATTGTATTAATACCTTCAGCATTCAACCATCATCTGCGATTATCTCAAAAGACACTATTTGCAAAAACACATTTGCATTCAATTCCTACCTAATCCATCCATATCCTTTACCCATTTCAAAATGCTGACATTGTAGAAGGAAAAGGTGACCACATCATTTGAAAAGCCACATTTTACATTTGAGAGACATTATCCAGAGTCTCATCATCCCTTTTATTTTTTAATTTTTTTTTCATCATCCCTTTTAGAATGCTGTTGTGTTTCTAAGTTTTTCCTATGGGAAAGAACTGTTAAGATTCCATGAGCAGAGTATTCAAAAGATGTGCATGGAAATTCCTAATGCAAATGTATTTAAAACATTTTACCCTACCCTTATCTTTGACAATTCTGGCCATCAAAAACACTTTAAAGATTTGTTAGAACATTTATCTCAAGGTATTTATTGCCAGAAACTCTACTACACTGTGGGTAATCCACAGAGAGCTGAGACCCATCTTCCCATCTGGCCTAGCTGACGATAAAAGGACCCTAACTAAGTGGCTAATTTGAGTGGTAGCTAAATGTGTGGGTCTGGGGTAGAAGACATTTGTAAGCAGAAGGATTAAGAGAAGAAGAAGGCAGGAGAGAGGGAGAAAAAACTGACCTGGGTGCTATTCTAAAGTTAAATTTAAATCCTACTTTGTTTAAAGAATGACTATGGGGTATCATATCACACACAAAAATATATTCTCTTACAGGGCAAGAACAAGTTAAAACCTTTTTTGATTATGCCCTTTATTTGACTTGAGATCAATCATTTGTTCTTTTAAAATGAATTCTCTAGGACATGATATTAAATAAAAAACAAAGGGAAGCAGAGAGGTTCTCAGGTCCAAAATCTGGTAAAAACAGGACAAATAAAAGGAAAGTAGAACCCCTGTGACTAACCAGGGAAAGGGGATTATGCACATTTAGGAATATTAAAGCTGCAGACACATCTGAACCATCACCTGCTCTCTACAGTAGAAAGAAAGGAGGAACTGAAAGTAGTTTGGTATGGTTAGAATGTACCCAGGAGAATGAAATTTTAGGCAGTAAGCACTTTATATATGTTGTATCTTTTAATCCAACTACACACTGAAATAGATATCATCTCTGTTTTTCAGTTGGGGATACTGAAACCTAGAGTTTAAGGATCTCGCTCCAGATCACACAGTTAGCATGTGGAGGGGCCCAGGTAGGAACCCAGGTCAATGTGACACCAAGACCAGCCCTCTTTGCATGCAGCTAACAGAATAGGCATATGGTGACCATATGATAAAAGATCATAATTCTATGATATGGGTTTGAGCATTATCCTATAAGTCAACACTCTCCAATAGATATAAAATGCAGGCCAAAAATGTGAGCTGTGTAAGTAATTTTAAACTTCCTAGTAGCCACATTTAAAAAAATTTAAAAACAGATGAAATCAATTTTCATATATTAAGTAAATGTTTAACTCAATATATACAAAAATATTTATTTTTTAGTCTTTTTATCAGATTAAGTCTCAGAAATCTAGCATGTTTTTATTAGCTACATTTAGCTAATTACATCAGATTAGCTACATTTCAAGTGCTCATTACCTATATGTGGCTAGTGCCTACTGTACTGGGAAACACAGCTATAAGCAACAGGAAGTAACTTGAATAGATTTTCATTTTAGAAAGACTTATTGGACAGCACTGTGGAGAATGACTCAGAGTATGGTGTAACAGAAGGTGGGGAAATGGTTAGGAACATAGTGTAATTGTCTAAGAGATAAAGGAGTGAACTAAAAGGATAGAAGAGTGAACGGAGAGGGTGGCTACTTTGAAGGTCTTAATATAGTTAATAAGACCTGGCTGAGGGGGTGAGATCAAGGGTGAAGGAAGGAGTCTAGATGATCAAGGATAAACAGGTATGAGAAAATATGATTATTTTTTTAGGAATATTTAAGTAGAGGGGCACCTGAGTGGCTTAGTTGTTAAGCATCTGCCTTCGGCTCAGGTCATGATCTCAGGGTCCTGGGATCGAGTCCCATATCGGGCTCCCTGCTTGGCAGGAAGCCTGCTTCTCCGTCTCCTGCTCCCCCTGCTTGTGCACTCTCTCTCTCTCTGACACATAAATAAATAAAATCTTAAAAAAAAAAAAAAAGGAATATTTAAGTAGAGATATCCAGTGAGCAGTTAGAAATATAAGTCTGGATCCCAGGAGTGAAGTCTGGGCTGAAGCTAAAGATTTGAGTACTGTTGGAAGATGGGTGAGATCACCCTGATATACTATCTGAGAAGAGAAGACACTATAGGATGCAACTCCTGAGGACCCCAATTTTTAATAGGCAGTCAGGAGAAGTAGAATTGCATAGAAGACATGAAAGGAATTTTTAGAGATATAAAAATACAACCAGAAGAGAACCACAGTATAACTGAATTTCATTCATCCTTATAAAAATAGTCATCATAAAGACTATGTAGAAAAATAAATATGTAAGTGAAAAAAACCAGACTATAAAACAGCATTTATGATTTTACATAAATAATATGCAATTATTAAATTTTAAGACATTAAAAATTATAACAATGACATGGATGCCACTTCATTAAAATTCTTTAATGTAATTATATTCTGTATATACTAAAAATGGAACAAATATGATACAGAGAGGAATTAAAAATAAATCCCTTTACTTAATTAATGGTTGCCATCTGAACACAACACTCGTCAAAATATTATGCTAGGTCACTTTTTCTAAACCACTTTTTTTTCATTAGTTTCCCCCTCCCCCTGAGGAGCCTTTTTAGACACTTTTTTCCTAATCCCTCCACCATTAAAATTTAATACAATAGATGTACTGTGTATCTGTTTATATAGTGTGGCCCTTTGGAAGGCCACAAACAATTGTAATATCTAAGATTTTTCTCTGCCCACCTCCCCAAGAACCAATATTCATCCCCTTGGGGGTGATACTGTTCCTGCTGAGAAGGCATGTGTTAGATGGTTCTATTAAAAAAAAAAAAGGCCAGGTGTTTGTAAATATCAGGGATGTATTAAAGGAAAGAAATATAGGTTTCAGTCCACCATTACTTTATCATTTGCTTCATAACTTTTCAAAAGAGTTGAGAGATTTTCATGAAATACTAACCTGAAGGTATGAAGGTTTTATAAATATATCTTAGAACTGTTTTATATTTCAGTTCCTCTTCCTAAAACAAAATGGAAGCCAACATGATCATTTGAAAGATATTATCCTTCATTTTAAAGGAATTTCAGTGGAATTTGGTATGTGATTGAATTGTGTGAGACTGACAATTCACTTAGAATTTGCAAGTTCATAGAACCATTAATTCTTACTTAGATGTGATTTGTAATGAGTATCTGTTTTTACTTTCTATTTTTTGGTCTATGAGGTCAAACTAGGGGAAAAATGTGTCTTTTTCTCATTGAAAAGGAAATAGTTTTATTGAATTGCATAGGAAACTGTTTTCTTACAATACGTATTTTACTCAGTGAAAGAATATCAAGGAAAAAAATTGGTATAGTTTTTAGGCCCTAAATGGTAATACATGGGCATGTCTGGGAAGTAACAATTCAGAGGCAACTTTCTAACATTTCATCCTGAAATTAGATCACAGACAGTATTAAGGAGGTAGGCTGGTTACATGCAGTCCAGTGGGGCTCTGTGTGAAGTACATATATTTGGGTAAAATGAAAGGCATGCATTGTACCTTCTATTTCATGTTTCCAGTGGTGTTGGTCATTCAGTGGATACAGAATGTCTGCTAATCTCAATTTTCATCATCACCAATTACCTGTGTTGTGTTGACTTAATTTCCCCAGGATAGTTTGGAGATGCCAATAGATTAAAATTATCACTAGGTAAATTAACTATCTCTGGTACACCTTTGTGCAAGACTATTCCCCAATGGTTGCACAAACTTATTTAGAGGCAATTCTCTGTGGGTTTCTCACATTTCCGTGCACTTTGTGAGCACAAGCATTGATGACCTTTGTTCTGGACTATCTTTTCAAGACTGTTTTTATAGTGAACAGCCTTGAAAGACACAGTGTCTCCCTTCAGTGCAGAGGGTAAGTCTGTTTGTTTCGAGGATAGATTATATTTCCCTACAGGGGGATCATTTCATTTCATTATAATAGATTTGGGTTCCTTAAACCTGAGGTCCTCAGCAGTAAAACAAACCCACTGTGTGCACAGCATACACCTGAACTCACCTTGGCACTGCCCTGAGGGAGTTGGAGGGTAAGGGAAAGCAGTATGAACATGAAGCTCACACTGCCAGCTGTACTGTGAATAACAGAGTTCTTGTCTCTGACCTAGGAGTTTTGTTTCTTATGTAAGCATCCCTGAAACTATAGCAGGCTTGCTTGTTAGCATGTAAGTAGGGTAAAATTTCTGACCCTTCACAGTTTTTGAAAATACTCTGAGATCTCTTTTCTTTTTATCAAACATTTTTAATTACAATATCCCTTATTCCTCTAAGAACCTAACACTTAGTGCCTTGGGCATTCCCATTAACTAAGACCCAACTCCAGGTCATTACTTCTCAAAAATGACTAAACTAAAGCCA